GAGGCAATCGACGAACAACAGGATGATCGTGATTGTGATCCTGCAAATAGTGCAATTATTCTATGTCAGTTCTTCTCCCTCTGACTCATTTCGCTCAGCATGATACTCTCCATGTCCATTCAAGTAAGCAAATTTCAAGGCTTCATATTTCCTGGCAGTTGCATAGTCATTTTCATTGTTGCTGTTGAAGCTTTTTGATTTTAGATGGGAATGAGTTCTGACATTTTCTATCTGGCTGTGACTTTCTGAACTAGTGTTTTTAGTTGACTGATATTAATGAATGATTCAAACAGTTCTCTTCCAAGTAAACTGGAGACGGTGACTTGAACATAGACTGCAGAGCTGACCAGGGATTGTGAGTTCCCCTGAATGCCTGGGGTTGCCAGTGGGTTCCCAGGAAATCCACTCACTCCTGTCATTGGAAGTCACTTCAACTGACAGTTGAATCTGCGATGTTTGGGAGTGGTGGCCTGGATTTCCAGTTTCATTCCATTTCGATGTTTTCTCTCCTGCACTGGGATTTAAACACAATGCCTTCCACGGGCAGGTCTATCCTCAGGACTCTTGAGACAGGTTTTATGGATATAGTTGGACGAAACAGCTTCAGAATTCTGGAGCTTCTCAGGAAGTTCCAACTGCAGAATTGTAAAGAAGCAAGTATCTGCCATTCCCCAAGTTGGTCTTGGGTAGAGGATTATGCCCATGGGAGTACCCCAGAGGGTAAAATGGAGTTCACCTTTATTGGGACATTTCTCCTGCCAGGTCAGTTCGTACTATCCCACCCTTACCTCACACGATGACTCCATTGGCAGGAAACAGCCAGAGCTGAGTCAGCACCCAGTCTCTTTGTAGCAACTCACAGAGGGGAAGCGAAGAACCAGTATAGAAGAGAACTGTCTCAGGGCGCCTGAGGGCTGGAACATCGGAGTGATCCCAGCACAGAGCCAGCAGTGAGCACTAAACACTGCTGGGTGTGGCCCCCAAACACACAAGGAACAGGAATGTTTCTGTCTCATGCAAAAACCTTTCCCCCTTGGTTAAGGTTTCATAGGTATAGATAATGGATTATTTCAGCTGAAAAGTCACTTTTTTTCTTTTTTTATCTTTTTGGGTCACACATGGTGATGCTCTTGGTTCTGCACTCAGGGATTACTCCTGGCAGTGCTCGGTGGACCAAATGGGATACCAGGGACGGAACCCGGGTTGGCTGTGTGCAAGGCAAATGCCCTACCTGCTGTACTATTGTTGGGGCCCCTGGCAGCAGTCACTATTTTTTTCTTTTTGGGTCACACCTGGCTCTGCACTCAGGAATTACTCCTGGCTCTGTACTCAGGAATTACTCCTGGTTGTGCTCAGGGAACCATATGAAATGCAGGGAATCAAACCCAGGTCGGCCGCCTGCAAGGCAAACACCCTACCTTACTATGGCTCCAGCCCCAGCAGTCACTTTTAACTCCACACTCCAACTTGTGTAGAAATGGAAGGAAGAGCTGACAGCCAGGCTTGAAAACTAGGCCAAAGATCAATATTAGACCAGGTCAACTGACCTTGCCCCCAAGCCAAAAGATAAGGACAGTTTATCCCGGCTCCAGCCTTCCCTGCAAAGCCTCACCTTTCACTTTATTTAGGTCTGGAGATAAGATGGAGTGTGCCTTAGGGGACCAAGTCACCAAGGAATTTCATTGTTCATTCTGGTCGGCAGCCCACCCTCTCCCCCCAGTTCTTTCCTTACAAAATCTCCTCCTCGTGATCCTGCAGACAGGATGGTTGCAGTGAGGACATGGCCCACCGCCCACTGCCACCGTCTTCCAACCTGCATCGCTCTTTCTCAGCCTAACACAGTCCCTCAAGTGTCCCTCTCAGCACGAGTGGCCTTTAGGAAGCATTGGAACTGTGCTTTCATTGTTACAAAACCATGACATTTTGGTGTGTCCAAGAAAGCATTATTGGAATATATTCCAGGCCAATGGACAAAAACGGGAGCCTGTTAAAGAACCTCATTACCAAACATTTGTGACAATGTACTGTAGTACTGTCCTCCCATTGTTCGTGGATTTGCTCGAGCGGGCCCAGTAACATTGTGAGACTTGTTGTTACTGTGTCTGGCATATCGAATACGTCTCGGGTAGCTTGCCAGGCTTTGCCGTGCAGGCGAGATACTCTCGGTTGCTTGCCGGGGTCTCCGAGAGGACTGGAGGAATTGAACTTGGGTTGGCCGGGTTGGCTGGGTTGGCCGCGTGCAAGGCAAATGCCCTACCGCTGTGCTATGGCTCCAGCCCTTTCTGACAACCACCCTGCATGCACCTGATCTTGTCTTGTGACAAGCTACATTTTAAAAATACAAACTTCTATTCCAAAGGACAAACGCTTCAGCTGTTATCCCAGTTTGGAGATGGAAAGAAAACTAGGTTAATTATAGACTCACAAGGGTTCTACCAAAATCCTGACTTGTGTATCTGTGGAAGTTTGGGGATTCCCCCCCCCCCATTTTGGGGACACATGATGATGCTCAAGGACTACTTCAATCCCAGTTTTGGGTATTGAACCCAAAATTCCTGCATGTAAATCATATGCTCAGCACATCGAGATGTCTGTATAGACTCCAAATTCTAACTTTTGAATATGACCATGTGTGGTAAAAAAATGTGAGATTCAGTATAATCAAATGAAGGGTCTTGAGACAAGATAAACCTGGATTATGGTACTCCCTAGCTCAGGATAATTGCCTTTTTAAGAGTCAAAGAGATACACATGTGCAGACATGGGTGAGAAAGAGATGGCCATGAGTTCAGGAACTACTAAAAATAAGAAGCAAGAAAAAAATGATTCCTAGAACCCATGGAGACAGTGAGACGCTACAGTAACCAGGACACTGGACTTTCAGAATTTGCACTGTAGCACTGTCCTCCCATTGTTTATCAGGGAACCATACATGTGAGGGATTGAACGTGTCTCACCTACCCTACTATCTCTCTCTCTCTCTCTCTCTCTCTCTCTCTCTCTCTCTCTCTCTCTCTCTCTCTCTCTCTCTCTCTGTCCTGCCTCAATGCTCACATTTATAGGTATCTGTGCTGGAGTAAGACTTCCAGTTCATCACTTTTCGCGGGACAGTGATTCTTCCATAAGAGGCAAAGTCCAAATCAAAATAAGAAAGTTAATCGATGCCTGGCATCCCTTATGGTTCCCCGAGCACCGCCAGGAGTGACTCCTGAGTGCAGAGCCAGGAGTCACCCCTGAGTATCGCTGGATTTGGTCTCCAAATTTAAATGAACAACTAAGAAAGCTAATCCTGGATTATGTCTTATCTTTCCTCGAGTTAGGTTCCTGGAGTTTGGTCAGGGGCGGTCAGCACTTGGGTCTGCCGGGGCGTTATGAGGGGCGTTATTAGTCCTTAAGTCATCTTTGAGGACACGGAAGCAGGGGAGAGTGCTGGCTGAATGTATAGTATCAAGTGAGTCAACAGAATCAAGTTTTGGGCTCAATAAAGAGTTGTTTTCAGCAAGGACTTGAAAAAGAATCCGGGTGCCCTTGTTGAACAGAATCCAATTAGTAGTGTTTTCCCTTGATTTTGTGAACTGGCAGACCACAGAGCAGTCTGGTTTTGAGAAACCCTGCGGAGTACATCTCTTTCCTCCTTTTTAGTGGTGTTGCCGCTAGTGATGTGGTAGGTGGGGGGTCTCACGACGCCCCCGAGCTGGAGAACCGCTTCATATTCCTTGTGGGGTGGGGGCTTCACAGCATCCTGCTTTACCCCGCGTCCTCCCCGCCTGCCAGGGGCAACTTTCTGGGCAGCGTCTGCCCGCAGCACCGTGGCTGGGCGGTCAGTCCGTCCAGCTGGAAGACGGTCCAGGTGCAAGAGGCCGGTGAGAAGGAAGCGCTGGAGCCAGACCGTCCCAGGGGTTTTGTCTCCACACCCCTTTTCAGGTCATTCTCTAAGAATGGGGCAGACCTCCAGGAGACCAGCTTGGGGAGGGGGGAGGGGGTCACCCGCAGGGACCAGCTGGCTTGCGAGGGGCATGTGCGGACTGTGATAGCACAGCGGGTAGGGCGTTTGCTTTGCAGCAGCTACGCAGCTGGCCCGGGGGACCCCGGGTTCAATTCCTTCACCCCTCTTGGAGGGCCCGGCAAGCTCAGAGAGTATCTCGCTGGCATGGCAAAACCTGGCAAGCTACCCGTGATTGTATTCAATTGCCAAACACAGTAACATTAACAAATACAGTAACAACAAGTCTCACGATGGAGACGTTACTGGGCCCGCTGGAGCAAATCGATGAACAACGGGAGGGCAGTGCTACGTATATATATATATATATATATATATATATATATATATATATAAATATATACATATATACATATATATGTATATATATAATGTTTCGCTTTGGTTTTTGTCCTCCTGGGACTCGGGGGTGCGGACGGAGGGCTGTCCCTCCTGGTTCTCATCCCCCGCGCATTCGGACCCGATCGCGACTAGCCAGCAGCTCTAGCACCCGGAGGGGAGGAAACGCGCCGCTACCGGGGAAGGACGTTGGGGCGAGTCCCGCGGAGGCGGGGGGTCGCTCGGGGGCAGGGGCTGCGGGTCGGAAAGTGTGTGTGTGTGGGGGGGGGGTTCCAGCCGGGTCCCCGCACCACTCCCGGGAGCGCAGCCTGCAGCTAGCACGGCCAGGCAGGGCGGGGCCTCGGACCCTCGGCTCGTGCCCGCGCCGACCTTGACCCGCGCCCCTGCGCCGACCCTTGGCTCCTGCCGCACCGGCCTGGGCGCGTGGTCCCACCCTGAGCTCGTGCCCGCGCCCCCGCTTGCTCGTGCCCGCCTCGGCTCGCTCCTCGCTTGCTCGTGCCCGCGTCCCCGCTTGCTCGTGCCCGCCTCGGCTCGCTCCTCGCTTGCTCGTGCCCGCGCCTCCCGAGGCGCCTCGGCCGCGCCCGTGCCCGCTCCCGACCCGCCCCTCCGGCGCGCTCGTGCCCGCGCCCGCCCCGCCCGCGCGCCCGCGCGCTCGTGCCCGCGCCGGTCTTTGCTCGGCGCCCGCTGCCGTCCCGGCCCGGCACTGCCGCTCTGCGCGCTCGGCCGCCGCTTCTGCGCGGCCTCCCGGGACCCTCCACCGGCCGCGGCGAGCGCAGGAGCCCCAAGAGGAAGGAAGGAAATTGCCTCCGTCGTTCTCAAAGCTCGGTCCTTCCCCTCTTTACAGAAAAAAAAAATAATAATAATAATTTTTTTTTTTTTTTGGCTTGAAACCGTGTCTTCCTGGGCCCGCGCGGACTCCGCGGGCACGGACGGCGCCGGGCCATGGAGGGCGCCGAGCTGGCCGGCAAGATCCTGTCCACCTGGCTGTCGCTGGTGCTCGGCCTCATCCTGCTGCCGTCCGCCTTCGGGGTGTCGCTGGGCATCTCCGAGATCTACATGAAGATCCTGGTGAAAACTTTGGAGGCGAGTGCGGGGAAGGGAGGGCCCGCGGGCGCGCGCGGGGACCCGTTTCGCTCGCGAGGGATGGGCGTTGCGGTTTGTGGCCGGGCCCGCGCGGGGACCGCAGCTTCCCGCAGCCCGGGGGGCGGGGGTGGGGGGGGGACACGCGCGCTCAGACCCCCGCCAGGGGCCGGAGACGCTGCGGGGCGCTGGGGTTGGCTGGTGACAGTCACCGTGAGTCCGTGTCTGTCCATCAGCTGCGTTCTTTATGTCCCTGGTCGCCCAGGTCTTTGGGTAGAGGTGCCCTGGCAACCTTGGCAACCTGGCATCATCATCATCATATTAATAATAATAATAATAATAATAATAATAATAAATGACTGGCGCGGCTTGGTAGGAAGAAATCTGATCCCGTTTCAAGTGGAAATTAGGTCTAAAACATTAAGTCATAGAAATGATGTCTCAGCGGTGACACTTGACATGACATTAGAGATGTGTGGTTTTGACCAAGGCTCTCCGCATCTGCAGAGTCAGGCGTTAGGTGGAAGTCCTCGGGCACACGACCGACCGGTGCCCTGTTCCCCACGCACGCACGCACGCATGCACGCAGGATTTTCTCGGATTCCCTGCAAAGACCTCCACGCACGCACGCACGCATGCAAGGTTTTCTCGGATTCCCTGCAAAGACCTCGTGGGCTGCTTGCTTTCAGTGTTAGGTCATGTAAAGCGTCGGGGCACTCTGGAGGACAGGGGCGGAGGGGACGCTGAGCCCCGCAGCCCTCGCTGTGGATAGGTTTGGGTGGGTAGGATTCAGACTCCGCCTACGGGACTCCTTAGGTTGCTGCCAGTGTCCCAGCTCTGCGGCTCCACGTGTGATCTTAGGGAAGTTACTTTGTGTTTATGTGTTTGGAGACCACAGCCTGCGGTGCTCAGGGCTTACTCCCAGCTCTTCCTTGAGGGATGATACCTGGTGGGCATGAGGGGGGACCATCTGGCGCACCGGGGAGCAAACCTGGGTCAGCCAAGGCAGGTGACCTACACACTGTACTATCTCTCGGGCATGCAAGTTACTTCTTGTGACTCATTCTCCTCATCTGTCAGTAGGAATACATTTCCATAGGGTTGTGTCAGTGAGTTAAAATGTCAAGCAGCTTAGAAGATTGTCTATTACAACAGTAAGTTTTGGGGGGCTGGAGCGATAGCACAACGGGTAGGGCGTTTGCCTTGCACGCGGCTGACCCGGGTTCGATTCCCAGCATCCCATATGGGCCCCTGAGCACCGCTAGGAGTAACTCCTGAGTGCAGAGCCAGGAGTAACCCCTGTGCATCTCCAGGCGTGACCCAAAAAGCAATAATAAATAAAAATAAATAAAATTAAACAGGAAGTTTGAACATCTCTCCAAATACCTTTCTCTTTTGCTTCTTTTCCAACACCCCCCCCCCCCCGGGGTGGGGCTGGTAGGTCTCTTAAATTTGGTTTTATATCTTTTTTTTTTTAAATTTTGTTGAAAGGTTATGTTTCTTTTAGCTTCTGCAGTATAATGTAGATTCTCATTATTTCTGACCGAGTTTTTGCCTGCCCTGAGGAACTTCCTTTATGTGCTTTTTGTCTCAGTCATAGGGTGGCTATGCATATGTTTATGTGTGTGTATACTGATTACATATATGTGTGTGTGTATATATATATAATCAGTTTCCTAATGTCTTTCCTACCTGCTGATCTGCTAATTCCAGATTTTTGTTGCACTTCCTTTTTGTGGGATTGGTTTTCCTTGGTGTTTGTTATTAGTGTTATTTTTAACTTTTGGGTCACACCCAGCGATACTCGGGTTACTCCTGGCTCACTACTCAGGAATTACTCCTGGCGGTGCCCTGGGGACCATATGGGATGCTGGAGATGGAACCTGGGTCAGCCTTGAGGAAGGCAAACACATACCCTACCTGCTGTATTATTGCTCTGGCCCCAATATTTTCTTTTTCTAATCTCTTATGGGCTTCACATTGTGAATTAGACACACAGAATGCAGTGAGTTTCTTAGAAGCCAGTTGCTTTTTGATCTTATTACTTCAACTGGTTTTCACTCTTTCTCAGAACACGAATGACCTGTTTTGCCATCAGCAGTGTCCATTGGCATCTCTGTCCAGAGTGAGAAAGGAGGGCATTGTGTACACTGGCTCACTTGGTTCCGTTCTTTCTTTGTTAGTGATTCTGGTACAGCTAAAGAGATTAAAGAGAATCTGGTACAGTTACGGGGAGAGACTGGCTAGCTGTGGTAAGTCCGTAGTTAATTCTACTTGACTTGAAAGGGGTTGCCCCTGACCAGGGGCTAGCCTTCAATTTGCTAGGACCTCACTTTTCACTTTTGTCCATTTAGACTTGAGGAAACTTTCAGGGACCTTATTTATCGAATGCATATTATCAAACTCACAGTATCACTGGTATACTGATTATAACAAAGGTTACATCTCTGAGCTTGGGAATCAGGTAGAAGGCCGCATGAGTTACCACCCTCTTTATTAAATGGTTAGGTCAGAAAAGTTCTCGGCCAGGAGTAGCCCCTGAGTACTGTCTGGTGTATTCCCACTGTCAGATTCTCATCGTATATGGAATTAGATTGTGGATTTTTTTTTGTTTTGTTTGTTTTGTTTAGGGTGATACCCTACAGTGCTCAGGGCTTACTCATGGCTCTGTGATCAGGGATTGCTCCTGGTGGCACTCAGAGGACCATGTCGGGTGTCAGGTATTGGAATTGGGTCAGCCACATGCAAGGCGGGCACTCTACGCACTGAACTCTTTCTCTGACTCTGAATATGGCTCATTTTTGAGATCCTACTTTGATATTTTGGTGTAATCTGTCTGGGGGCAGCGGGGCTCCTCAGGAAAGATCTGGAACCCTAGAGTGTGATGTCTGTTTTAGATGCAGGACAGGAAAGTGACAGTTCACGGCTTGCCTTTAAGAAGAACAGTGTCCTGTGCTTCCAAGTCATTTTTTGTAGCCTGGAATTAGAGGATTGCTTTTTCTGACCATGGGCACAAACCCCTGGACACTGGTTCAGCATGAGAACAGCTATAACTTGGGACGGGAGCCTTTCCTTCTGTTTAGACTTCTGTGCCAGGCTTAGCCCTGGTGTTATACCTTCTTCCTTTCTCTCTTCTCAACCAATATGGTGGTTTCTTTTTTTGGCATTCCATTCCCAACAATATTGTTTGGGTCTTTTTGATTAGAAGTGGAGGTTTTCCAATTTTTCTTGGTTACCATTTACATACCGTTTTAGAAAGTCATTTGGTTTTTGTCCATTGCGTGTTTACTTTTGTAAGTGTTATTGACAGTGGATGGCTTTTTCCTGACAATGAACTCAAATAATGGGAGTTCAAACGTGGATGGGGTGGCCTGTGAGCGCGCTAGTTGTTGGACTGTCCCTCAGCACTGTACCCTCCTGAGTCTGTAGAGCCCATAGTCTGGGTGCTGCTCCTGTTCAGAGCACCTCCGGGTGCTGCCAGCTACATAGTTATCTCTAGGTGTGATCCTTAGCCTCTGCAGGACAAGCCCCTGAAGGCGAAGGTGTGAATTTTAAAAGTATGTTTCGTGATTTTCTGTTCTTTTTTTCTGGTGCCAGAGATGGAATATATATATGTATGTATATATATATATATATATATACACACACACACATATATATATGTATATATATATAAAATGCCTTGCCACATATATGCAAGGCAAGGCAATCTCTGTACCACTGAACTGTACTCCCGATGATTTTCAAGGAGTAGATAGTGACTTGGAGGAGTAGAAGTGTTTAGCGTTAGACATTTTTGTTGGGTATCCAGCTGTGAAGAGCAAACTGCCGGGCGAGGAGACCCAGACTGCTGGGTGGTCAGTGGGTACGTGTCCCAGATCCAGCAGGGGCTGTGTGCAGCTTTAAGGTGTATCAAACGGGAGCCTGGGTTAGAGGTTGAAAATGCTCTTCTGAGCCCTTCCTTCCTACCCACTGCCTACCCACTGTACTACCACTCTGGCCCCAGTTTTACAAGCTTTAAACATGAGATTTCACCCTTTCTGTTTTTTTTTGGGGGGGCCATCCCCGCCATGCTCGGGGCTTACTCCCACCTCTGCGCTCAGGGCTCCTTCCTGGCAGGCCTGGGGGGCCATCTGGATGGAACCTGGGTTGACCGAGTGCATGGCAAGCTCTGTATCTGCTGGCTGATGCCCCTGATGTGCCCTGACTGAGAGTGCCTTTCAGCACTTGTTGGAGGGGCGCATGCAATTGGAGGTTTAGTGGGACTTAGTAGAAGGCACCCATAGCGCTTTGGGGTCTCTTCTGGACAGAGTGCAGTGGGGTGGTCCCTAACGCAGATGCCCTGAGATGCCTTGGAACAGGGGGGGCAGTTCGGGCCTCCCGGAGCTGCCTTGGATTTGGGCACTGAGTGGAGGGTCATAGTGACAGAGAAATCACTCTTTACGGGAGAGACATGGCATCGCCATGGCCAAGTGCAGTAGGGGCCCGGGAGGAGGGGGAGGAGGAAGTGGGCATTATTCTACTGTAAGGCTGAAACCGACGCCATGACAGATGGCAGAAATGAGAAAAATCAGGTGGGCCTTAGGTCCAGTTCTTGGAACTGAAAAAGATTTTGTTTCCCGGCAATGAAACAACGTGTCACTAGCCAACCTGAATCCACCTGGGAAGTTCCTGGGCCCAGTAAATGGGCTCAGTCAAATCATTATGCCTCAGTTAAAGTGCCCCAGAAATTATCTTTTGTTAACCTTAAAAGGAATGGGTAGCCGATGTAAGCATAGAACTGGTACTATCACTGGAAACTGTTGTTTAATTGTTGCCTGATCACGGTTACCATGGTGCTTAATTAACTTTGAAACTTTGAAACCCATGTAAACTGCTTGTGACTTGGAGTCGGGGTCCTTGTCAAGTCTCCACTGTGTTGGAGGAGACTTGGACCCTAGCTCGAGCTAGCAATAAAGTTCCTTTGCTTTTGCCTTATCGTGTGTGGATTTGGTCTCTCCGAAAGTGGGGAACTGAAATTCGAACCCAACACTACCTGGTGGCTTTTGGCGTAGTGACTGTGGCTGGATTGTGTCCTTTAATCTTTACTACAACCCTTGATCTGAACCCTGCCTTCAAGATTACGGCACAGATTGGGAAGGTGAGACCATTTGTCCGAGGTAGCTCTGTCCAGGTAGTGAAGGGTTGGGGGGGGGGGGGGTGTGTGAGATGCTGTCTCGGGGGCCTTCGAGCTCTTTGTCCCTTTCACTGTGCAAGCTGCCCAGAGGAGAAACCCATTTTCTTTCACCGTCCCCTCAGCTGCGCTGTTTTGGCCTCCTGCCCCCAGTGTGCTTGCCAGACAGACCTTTGGAGTGGCTGGTTCAGGGCCACGTCAGGGGTCCTGAAACACATCTGGCGATCACACCTGGGACTGTGTGCGGCACATCAGACTGTTCAGTGATCGCCCTGACTCAGTCTCCTAGCAAAGTGTCCCAGACCACACGCTAGTTTACAGCAGAAACTTCTTTCTCTGTAATGGTGGCTACAAGTCCAAGATCCAAGTGTGGGCAGGTTTATTTGTTTTTTCTCTTTTTTTCCTTTTTTTCCTTTTTCAGGTCAGCTCCTGTCAGTGCTCAGGGCATGCTCCTGGAATTGTGCTCAGTGATCACTCCAAGCAGGGACTAGGGAACTGTGTGGGATGCTGGAGATCAAACCCTGGTTGGTCATGTGCAAAGCAAGTGCCTTAAACCTTGTTCTGTCTGGCCTCTGTTTTTGTTTGTTTGTTTATTTGTTTTTGTTTTTGTTTTTCATTTTTCCAACATGGCCTGTCTCCTGGCTTGTTTTATTAGTTTTGAGGTCACACCTGGCAGTGCTTCAGGGATACTCCCAGCTCAGTGCTCAGGATTGCTTCTGCCAGTGCCAGGGGCCGTCTGGTGCTGGGGAGGAACCTGGTGCCCCCTGAACACGAGGCCCCAACTCTAGCCTTCTTGCAAGCTGGCCCCCGGCCCAGACCTCTGTCCCGGGCCTGCCTCCTGCACTTTGCACTGTGACCTCACGACCCCTTCCTGTCTGCACGTCCCAGCTGGGCCTTTGTGCCACATCTTCCCTCTTCCAAGAGCACCAGGAAGGCTGGGCAGGGCCCTCTGCAAACATCTTATTCCACCAGAATCAAGCCCCCTAAAGATCCCGTCTCCCAGTGCCCCCACGCTCCCGGGTTTTGGGAGTCAGAGCGTCCAAGTACACATTGGCTGAGGGACACAGTCCAGATTCCCCCAGACACTCAATAAAAATACCTCCCCTGGGGAGCGCAGGGAACAAGAGTCTTCCTCTCCAGAAGCTGCCTTTTACGTTGGCTGCAAATCAGACGAATCAGACGCTCCCAGTAAAAGAAGCGACAGAGATGGATCACTGGGATCACTGGCAGTGTTTTTAGTTTAGATGTTGTGCCTGATAGTGGGTGATAATGGGTTTCCACACAGTGAGTGAAAAGGGAGGGAGGGAGCCTTTAGGGGAGATGGGTGTGGGTGGCAAGCCTGACGTTCTTGCCTGGAGCTCACCCCTGAGACGATGCAGGGGCTTCTCTAGGGGCAAATGGCGTGTTTCTACTTGCTTCTTGGAATGCCGTGAGGAATTCCCGACATGCCTTACATTTCACCTTCGTGTACGTACCAAAGGGCCAGGTTATGGCTCAGCACTTATTCACCCTGCATGTATGAGTTATATATATATATATGTGTGTGTGTGTGTATATATATGTATTCTTTTTGGTTCACACCTGGCGATGCACAGGGGGTTACCCTTGGCTCTGCACTCAGGAATTACTCCTAGCGGTGCTCGGGGGACCATATGGGATGCTGGGAATCAAACTTGGGTTGGCCTCGTGCAAGGCAAACGCCCCACCCGCTGTGCTATTGCTCCAACCCCTATATATTTTTGAATTTAAGAGATAATATCGATTATTTTTCTTATTTTACTTACTTGATTTGGTTTGGGGCTATATCTAGTCTTGCTAAAGGCCTATTCCCAGCATGATTTAGGGAACCGTGAGGTGCTGGAGGTTGAACCTGGGTCTCCTGCATGTGAAGCTCATGCTCCAGCCTTCTGCATTAGCTTTGGTTTGATATTTGGAGTTTTGAATCATTTTGTCCATTCTGAGCTTAGCAGTTAAGTTTTAGCCCAGTAATGAACAACTTTATTGAATAGTAATAAACCAGCTGTCTTTTTTCTTCCAAGGGTATTAAAGTCCTCATTATAAATTATTATGCCTTTTTGTTTTGTTTTGTTTTGTTTCGGTATCACACCCAGAGATGCTCAGGGGTTACTCCTTGCTCTGCACTCAGAAATTACTCTTAGCGTTGCATGGGGATCCTATGGGATGCCGGGGATCGAACTCAGGTCGACTGCGTGCAAGGCAAACGCCCTACCCATTGTACTATCACTCTGGCCCCTTATTATGCCTTTTATCTCTTATTTTTCACTCTTTCTCACTTTTCCCCAATCTGTCCAATTTGGGGATAGTTTGCTTCTGGAATTGTAATCATTGGGATTCCACATTTTTGTTTGTTTTGTTTTGAGTTACTCCTGGTCTGTGCTCAGGGATCACTTACTACTGGCTTGGTGCTCAGGCAGGACTTGGGGACCATAGGGGGTGCTGGGGATTGAACTCGGATCAACTGTGTGCAAGGCAAGTGCCTGCCCCATTGTGCTGTCTCTGCGGCCCGGAAGCACTCTACTTCTTGAACTAGAATAATAGCAGCTAGATTTCCTGGGGTGCTGAGGGGGGTCCCCTTGCAATTGCTGCCCGCTGATGGTAACGGCAGATCATTTTATAGATACACCTGAAATTTTAAAGAAGAAAATAAATGACCTCAGTATATTTCTTGCACACACACACACACACACACACATTTGAAACAAAATGGGAATTATTTTTTCCTGTCCTACATAGCACAGCGGTAGGGCGTTTGCCTTGCACGCAGCCAACATGGCCGACCCGAGTTCGATTCCTCCGCCCCTCTCGGAGAGCCCGGCAAGCTACCGAGAGTATTCGATATGCCAGACACAGTAACAACAAAGTCTCCAATGGAGACGTTACTGGGCCCGCTCGAGCAAATCGATGAACAACGGGAGGGCCTTTACTTTACTTTACTTTTTTCCTGTCCTACATGCTCTGAAACCTGATGTTTTAATAAAGTTATTGTAACATTTTCCCTAAGTTTATCTTACTAAGTGATTGGCCACATGGACAGATGTTTTTACTTATGATTTTTTTTTTTGGTCGTACCAGGGATAGAAGCCAGGGTCTCATACATGTAAGATGTGTGCTCTGCCATTGGGCTCCATCCCTAAGCTGAACCTCTTTTTCCCCTTTTTGGTTTTTGGACTATACCTGCAATGCTCAGGGATTATTCCTGGCAGGGCTTGAGGGACCACATGGGATGCTTCGGATGGAACTTTGGCCACGTGGAAGATACATGTCCTCCCCTCTGCACTATCACTCCTACCCCCAAGATAATCTTAGTTCCTGTTTCCCCAGCTCCTTTTCATTTTCCAGCCCTCACAGGGTCACTTTCTGCAGCTTCTACTTCTGATCCGGGCAGTTAGGTCCTGACTGCTTGTCTTACTCTAGAATTCCTTGTTTGCTGTGAAGCTTGTTGTCACTGCCATCTTTACCCTCATTTCACAGATGAGGGAACAGAGGATCTGAGGGATTAAATTGCACAAAGCCCAGACTGTCTCTATGACCCGATTGGAACTCCGGTAAAACATGCCTTCAAACCTTCTTCCCGTTGAACGGGTCAACACCTGTCCCTTATTTCATTAGGGTACCATCAGTATGTCAGAGGAGAGCACGCCTGGGTCTCATTGCAGATTCCCTGGGCATCTCTGGTGTTCAAGTAGGGTCAGGAAGAATGTTGAATTTCATTTCTGTAGAAACATCCTTATTTATTTATTTATTTATTTATTTGCTTTTTGGGTCATACCCAGAGGCGGTGCACAGTGGTTACTCCTGGCTCTGCACTCAGAAATTACCTCTGGCAGTACTCAGGGGACCATATGGGATGCTGGGAATCGAACCAAGGTCAGCCACGTGCAAGGCAAACGCCCTACCCTCTGTGCTATTGCTCCAGCCCCAGAAGCATGCTTTAAGGATTCAATGTTGTGTTATGGAACTGTTTAAATGAACAATTCTTTTTTTTTTTTTTTTGAACAGTGGGCCACGATACGAATTGAAAAAGGAACTGCAAAGAAGTTGGTTCTCAAAAGTTCAGCTTCTGGTGGTAAGTCTTTTTCATTGTGATTGTGAAGATACTGGGCTTGGGTAGGTGGACGGTTACCCAGTTAGAACTTGAAATATATGGAGACGTGTATTCTGGCCGTCTGGTGGTTTGTCTTTCTACCTTTTATGCAAAATAGCATCTACCTGGGTTTTGAATAGTTGTTGTTCCTTTTCTTTAATTTATTATTATTTTTTTTTGTGAAGCAACATAGTTTTTATGCATAAAACTTGCTTAGAGTGATATGAGGGGAAAGAGAGAGAGTACGTGTTCAAGAGAGAACATGGCTTTCTCCAGACTGGAAGAGGCAAATCATGGTTGTAAGCAAGCAAGAAGTGTGTTCAAGGGGCTGGAGCAATAGCACAGCGGGTAGGGCGTTTGCCTTCCACGCGGCCAACCTGAGTTCAATTCCCAGCATCCCATATGGTCACCTGAGCGCCGCCAGGAGTGATTCTTGAGTGCAGAGCCAGGAATAACCCCTGTGCATTGCTGGGTGTGACCCAAAAAGAAAAAAAAAAAAAAAAGAAGTGTGTTCAAGGGAGAACATGGCCTTGGAGAGCAGGCTTGATTGAGTTTTCGTTTGTGTTGGGGTCACACCCAGCTCGGTGCTGGTGCTGGGCTGTGACTCCTGGTGGTGCCTTCCCAGGGGAGCTTAGGGGATCATGTGATACCCGGGCTCCAACTTGAGACTCACACATGCAAAGCATGTGCTCCAGCCTGCTGAACCATCCACCTGAGCGAGTTTTCACCGTAAAGGAGATAAGATATGGTGGTTTTTCTTTGTGTTCTTTTTTTTTTTTTTTTTTTATTTATTGAATCACTGTGGGAAAGGTTACAAAGCTTTCAGGTTTATGTCTCAGTCATGCAAATATCAAACACATTTCCCTTTACCAATACTTATTTTTTACCATGAAGAACCCCAATAAAACCCCACCCCCCACCCCTCCCCGTCCCTGTGAAGCAGATGAATTCTAGTTAACACTCTATCTGCTTTGATTAGATTCATTGTTTCAATAAAAGATTCACCACTATTATTTAGAGTTTACCCCCCCCCCCCCCAAATCAGACATGCTGAAAAAGCATTGTGAAGTGATTTGCTTTCTACGGCTGGGTTCAAGAATTAAATGTTGGTTTTGGATTTCTGCTCTTTTACCTATTGACCCTGGAAGTATTTCTACTGAAAGTCAAATAGTTAAGAAATTGGTTTCTGTGTTCTGGAGTCCTGGCCGTGCTGGAGAGCCGCTCGCGGGGGGCAACCGGTGGCCTCGGTAGGGCGTGAAGGGCGGACCGAAACGCCCCCCTTCCCATGAGGTTTTAGTCGCCCCCACACTCCCGGCTCATACCTGCTGTCCACAAGGCTCCCATGTGGCCGCCATCTTTCTTTCCAAAGAGGAGAGGGCGAATGGGGCAACACCCTTTCCCCTCCGGCAGACTTGATGGCCTGGATCAATGCAGAGTCCGTTCACTTTTCTGCTCCAAGCTGCTGGGTTCTGCATTAAGTCCTTGTGCTTCTGGGGCCGTGGCCGTGCTGGAGAGCCGCTCGCGGGGGGCAAATGGTGACCTCGGTAGGGCGTGAAGGACGGACCAGAACGCCCCCCTTCCCATGAGGTTTTAGTCGCTCCCACACCCCCGGCTCATACCTGCTGTCCACAAGGCTCCCATGTGGCCGCCATCTTTCTTTCCAGAGGGAGGAGGGCGGAAGGGAGCAACACCCTTTCCCCTCTGGGCAGAAATGATTGCCTGGATCAACGCATAGTCCTTTCACTTTTCTGCTCCAAGCTGCTGGGTTCTGCATTAGGTCATTGTGCTTCTGGGGCTGTGGCCGTGCTGGAGAGCCGCTCGTGGGGGCAACTGGTGGCCTCGGTAGGGCGTGAAGGGCGGACCGAAACGCCCCCCTTCCCATGAGGTTTTAGTCGCCCCCACACTCCCGGCTCATACCTGCTGTCCACAAGGCTCCCATGTGGCCGCCATCTTTCTTTCCAGAGAGGAGAGGGCGAATGGGGCAACACCCTTTCCCCTCCGGCAGACTTGATGGGCTGGATCAACGCATAGTCCGTTCACTTTTCTGCTCCAAGCTGCTGGGTTCTGCATTAAGTCCTTCTGCTTCTGGGGCCGTGGCTGTGCTGGAGAGCCGCTCGTGGGGGGCAACTGGTGACCTCGGTAGGGCGTGAAGGACGGACCAGAACGCCCCCCTTCCCATGAGGTTTTAGTCGCCCCCACACCCCCGGCTCATATCTGCTGTCCACAAGGCCCCCATGTGGCCGCCATCTTTCTTTCCAGAGGGAGGAGGGCGGAAGGGAGCAACACCCTTTCCCCTCTGGGCAGAAATGATTGCCTGGATTAACGCATAGTCCTTTCACTTTTCTGCTCCAAGCTGCTGCGTTCTGCATTAAGCCCTTGTGCTTCTGGGGCTGTGGCCATGCTGGAGAGCCGTTCGTGGGGGGCAACTGGTGACCTCGGTAGGGCGTGAAGGACGGACCGGAACGCCCCCCTTCCCATGAGGTTTTAGTCACCCCCACACTCCCGGCTCATACCTGCTGTCCACAAGGCTCCCATGTGGCCGCCATCTTTCTTTCCAGAGAGGAGAGGGCGAATGGGGCAACACCCTTTCCCCTCCAGCAGACTTGATGGGCTGGATCAACGCATAGTCCGTTCACTTTTCTGCTCCAAGCTGCTGGGTTCTGCATTAAGTCCTTGTGCTTCTGGGGCCGTGGCCGTGCTGGAGAGCCGCTCGTGAGGGGTGACTGGTGACCTCGGTAGGGCGTGAAGGACGGACTGGAACGCCCCCCTTCCCATGAGGTTTTAGTCGCCCCCACACCCCCGGCTCATACCTGCTGTCCACAAGGCTCCCATGCGGCCGCCATCCTTCTTTCCAGAGAAGAGAGGGCGAATGGGGCAACACCCTTTCCCCTCCGGCAGACTTGATGGCCTGGATTAACGCATAGTCCTTTCACTTTTCTGCTCCAAGCTGCTGGGTTCTGCATTAAGTCCTTGTGCTTCTGGGACTGTGGCCGTGCTGGGGAGCCGCTCGTGGGGGGCAACTGGTGACCTCGGTAGGGCGTGAAGGACGGACCAGAACGCCCCTCTTCCCATGAGGTTTTAGTCGCCCCCACACCCCCGGCTCATACCTGCTGTCCACAAGGCTCCCATGTGGCCGCCATCTTTCTTTCCAGAGGGAGGAGGGCGGAAGGGAGCAACACCCTTTCCCCTCTGGGCAGAAATGATTGCCTGGATTAACGCATAGTCCTTTCACTTTTCTGCTCCAAGCTGCTGGGTTCTGCATTAAGCCCTTGTGCTTCTGGGGCTGTGGCCGTGCTGGAGAGCCGCTCGTGGGGGGCAACTGGTGACCTCGGTAGGGCATGAAGGACGGACCAGAACGCCCCCCTTCCCATGAGGTTTTAGTCGCCCCCACACCCCCGGCTCATACCTGCTGTCCACAAGGCTCCCATGCGGCCGCCATCCTTCTTTCCAGAGAAGAGAGGGCGAATGGGGCAACACCCTTTTCTCCTCTGGGCAGAAATGATGGCCTGGGTTAACGCATCGTCCGTTCACTTTTCTGCTCTAAGCTGCTGGTTTCTGCATTAAGTCCTTGTGTTTCTGGGGCTGTGGCCATGCTCCAAACTTAACTCTGATTTTCAGGGAGAAAGATTGGGTGGTTTACTTCTCATTGATCACTTTGTATATAGAGAGATGTCGCGCGGCCGCATAAGCGGCAGTGCGGTTTTGAGAAAAAGTCCTCGTTCCCGCATACTCGAGCTGTGTTTGTAGAGGCTTCTGGTCACCAGGGTTCCATCTGGGGGAGGCGGGATGCGGCGCCTACTCCATCTGGAACTTCCCGGTGCTCTCGGCTCTTTTTGGAACCTGTTTTTTCTTTTTTCTTTTCCTCCGGGATCCCGCACCCTCCATGTGTTCCTTCTCTTATTCTGAACGTTTCAAAGATGGCGCTGGGGGGCGGGCTGTGGGCGTGACTTCCGGGATCAGAGGTTACCTGGGAGGTGTAGTCCGGCAGATTTGAGAAAAAGTCCTCGTTCCCGCATACTCGAGCTGTGTTTGTAGAGGCTTCTGGTCACCAGGGTTCCATCTGGGGGAGGCGGGATGCGGCGCCTACTCCATCTGGAACTTCCCGGTGCTCTCGGCTCTTTTTGGAACCTGTTTTTTCTTTTTTCTTTTCCTCCGGGATCCCGCACCCTCCATGTGTTCCTTCTCTTATCTCTTTGTGTTCTTAAGGGATGCTCTATGTACTTTGTTTTGTTTTGGCGGCCACACCGGTTGGTGTGTTTGGGGCTTACTCCTGGTTCTGTGCTCAGGGAGCACTCCTGGTGGGCTGTGGGGACCGTCTGCAGTTCTGGGGGCTGAACCCAGAAAGGCCAGGTGCGAAGCAGAAGCCCTATCTGCTGTACTGGCGCTCTGGCTCCAATTACCTTTCTGGTTTGTTTTTGTTTTGAGGCCACACCTGGCTTTCTTCTGGCTCTGTGCTCATGGATCACTCCGGACAGGGCTCAGGGTTCCGTTTAGGGTGCTGGGGATTGAACCCAGGTTGGTCATGTGCTGGACTATTGCTCCGGCCTGAGGCTTGTTTTAGTTTGGATAGAAGTGATCCCGGAAGAGAAGAGTGCAGTCTTCTGCCCCCGCGCCTGACTGTCCTCGCTCGCCGGGACCCCTTGGAGGGGAGCGGGTTGAGCTTTCCTCCCCGCGCTGACCAGGGCTCCGGCAGCCAAAGACCTCCAGGACCAGCCACCACCATGCTGAGACCGCTCTCCACACACATGAAGGTACTGGCAGAGGGACAAAGTCACGCGGGTTCCGGGGCCGAGATCTCCAAGTGTACTCGGATTTGAGTCAAGCATCCTCCACCCAGATCCTCCAAATTCCAGTAGGCGGGGGTCACACCCACCAACTGGCCCCCTGGCACCGTGAAATCCCATCAGCGGCCAAGACTCAGAGACTATAAAAACCAGATCCCGGAACAGCACGGCCGCATCCGCGGCCGCGCAACATCTTAT